AAAAAAAAAAAACAGATCTCTGTGTTTGTATGTATTAATTTTTTTAATTGTGACACAGACATCTTCATTCTACAAGTACTTAAGTAAGTACAAAGAACATCAAGGAATTGGCCAAGTGTAACAGAACTGCTAGCAGGATTGGCAAGGCATCCCAGCACTCTTCTGAGCAGCTCACATTCTCACACATGTGGTACTATTATTTCTCAGTGGGATGGCTATAGGCATAACATAGATATAGTTCCTTGTTTCTACTCATAATGGATGAAAAACCCTCCTTATCATGAATAGACCTTTAGGAGTTATACTCACAATTGCAGGCCACTGAATAGTTTGTTCGGAAATTTCAGGAGACTTCCGTTCGGCCAAAACCAAGTTATGCTCCACTAAAAATGCTTTCCTCAGAGGGCTGTAGACATCTATCCATCTTCTTTTCCTCCAAGATTCTCCATCAAACTCTACACATACCTAAATAGAATAAAAAAAGTCAATTAACAAGAATGAATTCTAAAAATGCTCAAGGTGATTTATACTCTTAGTATTCTACTAGGTTGTTTTTTTTCCCCTTGACTCTTCTGCTTTTCCCCCTAATCCCTTACTTACCTTCACAACTCATAAAAAATAGAGCCCTATGACAGGTCTTTGGAGAGGGACATCATGCTGGGTAGAGTGGAGGGACAGCGCAGGAGGGGAAGACCCTCTATGAGGTGGATTGATTCAGTGACGGGGGTACTTGGGATGGGATTGTCAGGGGCAATGAGATTGGCACAGGATCGAGCACGGTTTAGGGCTGTTGTACATAGGGTCGCTATGAGTCGCAAACGACTAGACGGCACATAACAACAACATATAGATCTACCTTCAGTTTCCAATCACTTTAGGGAGAAAGAGCCAGGGGCTCTGAGGGCCAGTCTCTGTCCCCAAAGTAACCTCTGGGGAAGCCCATAATCCAAACTCGTAAGATTTCCAAACACTTAATTAGACATCTGAGCTCTGGGAGTTGGGAAGCACAGATTTAAAACTTAATAGTAGTACTTACTCATCACAATATACTGTACTGCAATTCTATGTTGTGGATACTGTCTTTTATTTATTTTTTTAAAAAATTTTATTATTTTTGAGTGTGTGCTATTAAATCGGATCTGACTGGTACTGGAGGAGACGGTCTCTCCTTCACTAGATGGTGGATTCGAACCATATACCTCTGGGATTGCAGTGCAGATTCTTGCCACTAGGCCACCAAAGCTCCCTGACACTGTCTTTTTTAAGATGACCCTGTCCCAACCACCTCCCTTTGGATTCCACTCCTATAAGGAATCTGGATGTAGCACAAAGGGTACTACATCCTCAGTATTCCTATGAAGGGATTGAATTGAAAGTTTCCTTAGTTTGGTGTTTACTCAACACAGAAACTAACCCTAGTTTCCAGAACTAACTTTAGCTTCTTATGTGCCAAAAAAAAAAAAAAAAAAATAAAAAATTAAACTACATCCCCTCAGTATTCCTATGAAGGGATTGAATTGAAAGTTTCCTTAGTTTGGTGTTTACTCAACACAGAAACTAACCCTAGTTTCCAGAACTAACTTTAGCTTCTTATGTGCCAAAAAAAAAAATAAAAAATAAAAAATTAAACTACATCCCCTCAGTATTCCTATGAAGGGATTGAATTGAAAGTTTCCTTAGTTTGGTGTTTACTCAACACAGAAACTAACCCTAGTTTCCAGAACTAACTTTAGCTTCTTATGTGCCAAAAAAAAAAAAAAATTAAACTACCTTTGGATTACACTTTTTAAATGATGTTTAAATAAATTTTGTTTTTAGAACAAAATATCTTTTAAACTTAAGGTTACAATCCTAGTTAGAAGGTAAAGTTAAAAGTATTTAAAACACAACATTTCAGTGTGAAAAGTGTTAAAATCTTTCACAGTGACTTAGTCAGAATTGTTCACAAACTGAGTACACTAAAATACCCTCAATTCTTTACCTCAATATGCTACCACCAATTTCTTCTAAATCCTTTTTCTTTTAACCATTGTGTATCACTGATACAGAGACCATGTTATTGTTAGGTGCTAGCAAGTGAACTACAATTCCTAACACCCCTATGAACAGAGGTGAACCTTGCCCTATACTGCACCATTGTCCTGATCTTTGGTAAATTTAATCTCATTATTGCAGTCACAGTGTCACTCCAGTTTTTTGAGAGTTTTCCTCAGAGTAATGATTTTTTTCAAAGAACAGGCTCATCCTGAAAGCCTGCTCAAAGCATGTGACACAATTTCACCATCCTTGCCTCTAAGGGGCACTCTAGTTGCACTTCATCTAAGATCCGTTTGTTCTTTTGGCAATACGTGGAATACTGAACACTACTCACCAACATCACAATTCAAAGGTATCAATTCTTTTTTGGTCTTACTTATTCACTGTCCAACTTTCAGACGCATACAAAACAAGTAAAAATACTCTGGCTTGGATCAGGCCCAGTATTTTAGTGTACTCAGTTGACTTTCAACTAGTATTTTTGCTCTTTTAGTGTTATAGAGATCATAGGTAATAGTAAAAAACTTACTGAAAGACTAAATAACCATATTTCTTTACAAATTAAGCTTTCTTCTAGTTCTCTCATGCACACTGAAGTTCCTGGTTCATAAATCACTAGCTCCACTGCCAAAACTTCTCTCATTTTACTATTACAGATTATCATTCAAAAAATTCAATGGAATTCAGGATCCATCCAACTCTTTAACAACAAAATGTACACCCCTGACTTCCTAGACAAGATCCCTAAGCGGTACAGTCTATCAGGATGGTAGGATTTTAAACTTGCAATTATCACTAAATACTTGCCAAATCAGAATAAATGCAAATATGTGAGCACAGAGTAGGTGCCCAGGCTCTGTACAGTCTTCCTTTGTTGCTATTAGGTACCAATGAGTCACTTCTAATTCAAACAATCCTAAGGACAACAGAATTAAACACTGCCTGACCCTGAAACACCCTCACTATCACCATCGTCGTCCATTTTTCACTACCTGTCTTCCAAGCATGATGCTCTCCTCCAGGCGTTGGTCCTTCCTGATCAAATTGAGACTAAATCTCATCAGCTTCACTTCTAAGTAGCATGCTGGTTGTACTTCCAAGGCGGACTTGTTCATTCTTCTGACAGTGCACAGTACTTCACCACCACCATAATACTAAGACATCAATAATTCTTTGGACTACATTATTCACTGTCCATCTTTCTCACACACACGTTGTTGCTGAGTACCACTGAGTGACAACAAACTCACAGGTGATCCTCTAGCAGGTTTTCAGAGGCAGTTAATGGCACAGAAGGAGAGTGCCCATCTTTTTCTCATGGAACAGTGAACCAGGCAACTCATGGTTTGAGTCAGGAACACTGTTTTTGCTTTAACACTTTTTTTTTGGTCTTTTGCCAAATGCAAAGGTGTAATTCATACAGAAGGCAAAAATCTTTTAATGACTTGATTTCTTGACTGTTGCTCCCATGGATGTTGATTGTTAATCTGAATAAAATTAAGTCCTTGACAACATCAATCTTTTCTCTATCTGGCACAGTCCTTAAGATTTTAGTTTCACATTGCAGTATCTCAGACAAAAGACAAGTCTTTTCAGTGCTCCAGGAACTCATCAATTCCAGGAAGCAAGTTTGTGTCCGTTAATCACAGGTGTTAATGAATCCCCCTTCCCTCAACCCTGATGCCATGTTCTTCAGACTATCTGCTCCGCACAAATACTAAGTACGGTAAAAGGACACAGACCTGACCCCTACTTTTCCTGATTCAAGTAATCTAGTATTTCCTTGTCTGTTCAAAATACTAACTTGTGCTCTACATACAAACTACATGAATACAACTAAGTGTCTGGAATTATGATTCTTTGCAATGTTATCTATAATGTATTATGGACACATTAAGTTGAATGCCTTTGCATAGTCAGTAACACAGAGACAGACACCTTTGCCTTGAGCAAAAAAATCCAATGACATAATCAGTGATATCCTTATTCCACATCCTCTGAATCAAGCTTGAATTTCTGGCAGCTTCCTGTTAACACGTTGCTGCAAATGACGGCAAATGTGTTTCTTTTTTTCTTAATTACTTATAACGAACATTTAAAGAGATTTTGGATTTCCATTCATTCATTCATTGTTGCCCTTTTCTCCCCACCCACTCCTCCCACCCCCAGTTCACTCTTCTCTTTGAAAAGTAAAAGAAAAATTCCTTCATTGGTTATACAATTCCCTCCTCCGCCCCCCACCCCCCACCCCGACTCCAAGTATACTCCACTCTGTAACCTTCATTTCGGACTCTTAGAATAATCTTGATACCCTATAATATGTTGCTTTTAAACTGTTCTCTCCCTCATCCGTTTCAATCCAGTATACATAATTTATCCAGTTTTTCTCATTCTTACCCCAACCTTGATGTCAGTCCCATTCTACAGCAGTGGCACTATGCAGTGTTTGTCCTTTTGTGACTGAGATATTTCACTCAGCATAATGTCCTCGAGGGTTACCCATTTTGAATAATATTGCATGAGTTCCTTGTTTTTCAATGCAGCGTAGTATTCCATTGTGTGAATATACCACAGCTTCTCTACTCATTGATTTGTTGATGGGTACTGAGGTTATTTCCAACTCCTTGCTATAGTGAACAAAGCCATGATAAACATGGGAAAAAACATCTGCTTGGAGGGTGGTTATGGTCTCTTTAGGGTATATTCCCAGTAGTGGAATTGCTGGTTCATTTGCAACTTTTTGAGAACACGCCACACCACTTTCCACAGTGGTTATACCTTTTACACTTCCACCAATGTGTTTCTAAGCACAGTGGTCAATTTCAAAGTGTGCAGCATTGTGTTAATGTACTACTGGTATCATTTTAGTTTACTTGCATGTGATATTGTCAGAAAATGTCCTCATTCTGTGCAATTTTTTTATTTTGGAACAAGAACAAAGTTGGCTCTCTTCCAGTTAGTTGGACATGTAGGTACTGGTTTTTAAACTTCTTCACACAAATAAATGCTTTGGCATTGTATCCATTTGTTAAAATATCTGAACTGGTATTCTACCCATTCCTACAGACTTGTTTTGGTCCAAGATTGGAATTTTTTTTCAGTACAATTAAGTGATTAATCAAATGCTAACTCTTGAAATGGTTGAACCTCCACAGCCCATTCTTTTTGGTACAGTGATTCTGTATAGGCCTTCCATCTTTTTTTGATGCTTCCTGTGTTGTCCAATATTTTGCCAACAGACTCCTTCATTATTGCAACTCTAGGCTTAACTTTCGGATCTCTTGTTTCTATTTAGTCTTCTTACAACCAAGCAAAATGAGCGTCTAGTATACCAGTCTTGCATTTAATTACAAATGGCATATCATTCTTATTACTGCCCTATTCTAGGAGTTCCTCCTTTTCCTTGAATGATAGCACAATTCACCAAC